GCAGGGGGGGGGGGGGGGGGGGGGGGGGGGGGGGGGGGGGGGGGGTCACAGTGACTGATACCTTCTTTCCAGGCGTTGCTGGGTTGACGCAATTAAAATTTAATGGAGCACTAAGTAGCAATTTTAACCGTTTATTGTGCTGAGGGTTGTCTGCACTTATAAACATCAACGCAAGAATTCCACAAGATCTCATGCATGAGCTTGTAAACACTCTAACGTGCACGCACACTTTGGGGAGGTTCCATAAACAACATCTGAAACACTTTTCCCTGAATACAGACCCTGTTTTGACAAGGAACTTCAATAGTGGATAATCACATACGCTGCAAGTAAGAATCAGCAGCTCCGCAACAGAGAACGGAGATGGACAATATAGTGGATTGCAGTGCAGCATGGTGGATACTCCACATATTGAAGGTTACTCTGTCAACTGTCACCTTCACACATCAATTGGCCGAATGACAGCAGATGTCCTGGACAATGACACCCATTTTCACAAGAATAACTAACAGCTTCGACTACAGCTGATGCGTGGGCTGCTTCTCAACTGGAGAAACCGCATTTTTTCCTAATCTGGCCGTTCAATTCTTCACAAATTTGCTTTAGCTCCTGACAATTACTGACATTAAGCGCTACTACATTTTGTTAGGAAAACTATCAAATATAAAACCAAAACATGATGTCACATTTAAACAAGAAGAAAAGTTTATAATACAGCAAAAAAAAAAAAAAAAATGTCACACCAGTCAGAGATACTGAGAATGTTATATTGTATCTGCCAGATAAAACTTTCTGAGTCCTTTCAGGTATGCAGAAGTTCAGAAGGATGCAAATAAGGTTTCCTATCCAACACTTATTTCCCTAAGAGGGCTAATATCGTCAACATATGTCCTCTGTTTTTAGGAACATTTGCTCCATAGCAACAACTGTTACAGCATCTGTCCATTTCAAATGCCAAGGTATCTGTTTTTTTTGTTGTTGCTATTATATAACTGGTGCTTCATTCCTTATGAAATCTCTACTCTGTGGATCTGAAGACAGGATGGCATCTCTGCTTTCAGAGAGGAGTAAAACATTTTTTTAAAATTGAGGCGCCCCCTTCAGTTATGCTTTAATTAGTGATAAAATTTATCATTGTCGGTTCTTCTTAATTGGTGTATTATTGACAGTAGTGTTACCTGGGTTGTTTGTGAGAGTGACTGTGCTTTGTTCTGGAATGTTCCAGAATCAATAGCCAACTTTCAGCAGAAGACACAAGACTAGAAGAACAATAAGAAAACATTCTATATGCTTTTACTGAATGAGGCTTGGAAATACATATCTATTAAAAAAAAAAGAGAGAAGAGTGCATCATGCACTTGCATCATTTTAAGAGGGTGTGGAACCCACAAAAGAATAAAGCATAATGAAACAAGCAGGGATACAGATGTTTAAGCCATTGGTAAAGAATTTAGTGGAAAAAAAAACACATGCAGTCAACATCTTCAAATGACAACACAGAAAATATCTATAGTATCACTGATTAAGTTCAACAAACTATCCTCTCCACTTGCTGAGCGATCAATATGCTGTTCATATCCTCAAATGTGATGAGTCATTTGGAACAGCAGAGAGCCAAAACCATAGATAATCTTATAAGCGACTGATTAGAAAAGTACAGCGGGTGAGAAAACACTTCCCCGCCCCTCGGATGTTTACAGTCACTTAAGACATTTTGAGAGATTCGTGCAATTCATAATGTTTGGCTTGTTCAGAAAAGCATGAACGAACATTACTACATATGCGCCGGTGGATACGTATAGCTAAATGGATTTCCCAGACTGCACTCAGAGGTGAAAAAAACACACACACGAGACAGATCTTGCAGATACGATATCCATATACAGCAGTCAAGCCAAATTTTGACGTACAGAGGAAAATCTCAATAGACAGGCAAAGGCGGCACTGCAATTCATCAACCTGACAACGGAATCAGGAGGATTGCCCGAGGTTTGCATTCACAATATGTTTCATGAGTTAACAATTTGTCAGGTTAGTATATAATTAAATACAGGAGCGACTGAGGACAGTTTCCCGCCATTTAAACCCAATAACACACACCTCTGTCTGACCCCATTTTAAAAATGATTAGTAGGCCTATTTGTGTTTAAAGTACAACTTTCCCTGAACAATGACCGTTCTTTGAAAACTTTTCTGCAAGACCGGGTATCCATATTTACATAAACAAACAAACTAATATAGGCCGATCAATTGAACAGGTGATTTCATGTTTCTCCGCAGGGAAATTAGGAGGCAGACAGTGTAGATCTAATAAAACCAGGGACTAGACGGTACGTTTTTCACGGCACCTTAAACGCTAACCGTAATCTCTGGGCAGATTCATTTAAGAGGTAAGGATCCGAAGATTACATTTTCCCGCAGTCTTCACCACCCACTAGCACTAAAGGTAAGAATCTGAATTAAAATGCCCGGGTACCGCCGTCAGCCCTCACTTACATTTGCTAATTAATCGGCGCGATTTACGCAGTAAGACGCATTAAGAAAATGCAGAATGAGCTACTTTGCTGGACAAAATATTTTAATTTAGTTACGTATCACATTAGCTCTATTCAAGGGAGATATCGTTATTTCCACAGAGGTTTCGGAGAGGCTAAGTATCCTTTGTAATACAGATTACAAACCCGACTATAAATAATGGAAGTCAAACCAACATATAGAATGACAGAGTTTACGACTATATACCTGGACTTGGTGATTGTGTTGGAGGGGACACTGACATTTACTATAAACTAGTTATACAGAAAACGAAGGAAGAGTTTAAAAATGTGGGAAATTGGTTTGATTCTGTGCCAGATTCAGAACCATCTCAAGCTAGTGCAACCCATCAAAAAGCAACGTAAATCTGTCGATCCCACAATTCGTCTGCATACAAATAATTTTAAAACAATCTACATTATCACCATTTTAACTCTGACTGTTTAAATTTGCATTCATACATCATCAACGTGTAGCAGATGAAATTCAGGAGAAAAGATATTCACACTAATACATCTGGGAGAAATGCCGATTTAAAAGTAAATTGTGAATTTGAATACGTTTTTCTTTACGGCACATTTGATCGCTAAACAAAAACGCAGCCTAGTTTAACTTAACCAACCATGTTTCTGTTGCTTTTCTATTTTTATTAGTATTAATTCTCTATTTAAAATGCAAGCTGTGGGAACGTTCTGGCAAAAGGCTTTTAAATGCACTTGACGGCTTTCCTGGATGCAATTAGTGGTATGAACTGGTGCACAAGTCTCGTTTCACCTCTCGATCCATCCTACTATTTCCCTGACGAAAATGAAAGGAACCTTTTCTTATTTGTGTATGCCATAGGCGGGTTTCTCCTGAAAGCGTTTTTTTCTCTCTTTTCTAAATTGATCCTGTACTTGAGATAACTGGGCAGAGGAGGGGAAAAAGTTTGCCTTGTGCAGTGGACTTGGGGTTACATGGGGAAAGCGTTTGCTGAGAAATAGGGCCTTTGTAAGCTATCTCAAGATCTGCCTACAGGTCTTTAAGTCGGCAAGCGTGCCGTTACACGCCTTGGAGAAGCACCGCTCAGGAGGAGAAAAGTACGCCGGAGGAATAAGAAAACGTGCGGGCAGCTACTTTGTTGGACGGAGTAGATCGGAGAAAAGAAACCGCAGGAGAAAAGATACAAATGTATCGGAGATCGGATCTTACCGAGGTATTGTCGGAATTCTAGAAGAAATTTGGGGGGTCCGCCGTTCCACTGATAGAATAGGGAACCGAGACAAAACAGGAACAGAGAAGTCATGCAAAAGCCATAATCGCGCAGGGAGAACCTGAACAATATCAGGGAAAGCCAGGCGCTCCTCTTGTTGTTCCGGTCTCTTGTGTGATTCTGGGTTTGACTTTTGTGACGGTAGCTGGTACTGTAATTCATCATCTCCTCCTCGCATAGAGCCGTCGAGAATCGTGGTCACCCATTCGCCTCGGAGAAAGTCAAAAACTTTGGTTCTATAACATTCGGATAATAGAAGAGGGGAAAAATAAACGGGGATCCACGTCTGCCTGAAAAGCGACGATCCTGTGGCCGTCTCCCCTTCTGATCTCAAGCGGACCCTTCTCCGGCTACGTCAGGACTAGTTCTGCAAAGCCGAGCTGGCAAACCCGCGTTACCCTTAAGCCTCTCGGTTTAATGCCGGTGTCAGATTACTAAGAAAATCCCACAGTTGAGAGAGCTTGTTCTTACTGCAGAACAGGGACACCTTAAGGCCAGATTTCACAGTGCTTCTTTCGGATGACCCCCTTAGTCTTGGGTACGATTTAGCAAGCCCCAAAATTGTGTATATTTGTGCGTTTTCTTTTTCGTGAATACCTGCCCCAAGTAGCATACCCTGATAAAATACTCGAATCTTATTTTCACTATATTCTTTTAGTAGGCTATTTAATGCGGCTCAAAACCTTTCCCGCTCTAATCAATAGCGTATAATGTCTCAATATAAAATAGCCTACGTTATCTAAAACAATCGAATTAATTTCTTAAATAAAGTTTTGTTACCTGCAGTGATGGATGTAATTTGCTTAAGTGTCATTATTTGTGAACTGAGAATCGCTTTTGCATGACACAAACTAAAATGTCCCAATTTTTTGGTAAAAGTTGTCGACGAGGGGTGGGGCCGATAATAATAATATTAATAATGAAAAAAACGCTCATTCCACGACCCAAAAGAAAGCAAATGCACGATACACGAGTGTTTAGAAGAACCTGCGATAACGGTAAAATCGACGGACTGTCCACGTCGAATAGTTCACGGTTTACCCTCGTTATTCTTGCTATTGGATACGTGGCAGATGAATATCAAAGATTGTAGTAATGGATTCATTAATATAAACTCCTCCATATGACTGGTGACTCGTAATATAAGTTCAGGATACATTCCAAGGAGCAAGCAACAGATTATTGGACCTCCGAAAATAAAATGTATGAATAGTAAATAAAATGTTAAATTTTATTGTATTTATGTTCTTATTACAAATTACAAAACAACGGGATATAACATCTGAGACAATTCCATTACATATATACACCATAGTCGCAGATTGCTTGATTTTAAAGGGAACGATTTTCTCAGAAACTGAAGACCAGCAGTAACATTTTTGTATATATTAAATAACGTTAAAATGCTTGATTTTTAAAACATGTTACGATAAACATCATATTCTTACATTTTTTTGTTTAAAACTATGCTTTTTTCACATACTCGATTTGCGGGAGTTAACACCTGACTTTTGTTCGTAAGTAGTCCTGGTCGGGGTACGCGTGATCAGCAAGTCCGTCACAGAGCCCGTATATACATACACATTCATAATTGCACATCATTAACAATTTAGAGACATCAGTTGTTTTAACAGCAGGAGGAAAGCCGTTTCATTGTGTGTGAGTATGTGTGTGCACCTTGGTGTGCTGTAACTCTGCTTCCGATCCCGTCCTTCATGGGAGCTACTCCAGGCTTTTGGTGATTATTCAGGCCTGCTGGGTAAGCAGTTGGAAGATGGATGGATATATGGTAGAGCTCATCACGGACTAATCACGGTGACGATGGTGACTTCATTGTTGATTTAGTGCTTCTGATAGATATCTTTGGCGTTTAAATAAAACGCGGAATGAGATGAACTGTGGAATAATGACTTTTAAAAACGATCCACGTAGGCTATATGAGTTCTTTGAATTGCAACACGTTGTGCAAATGTTTATTCAAATCAGTCTCGTTTTCAGTTTTGTGCATTCATGCGGCTAGACCATTCCCTAATGTACAGCCTGCAAACCTAAATTCAGAAGTCGACCGATTTGCATAAACCACAGTCCCAGACATCCCCACTAAACGCGGACTCGGTCATTTCTGTTTCATCCTGCAAAATACAATTGCCAATACATGGTCTGCATTCAACTGCATATATAATATTTAAATAAACCGTTGTGAAAGCTCCTCACGTTTTCTTCAACTGGATGCATGCCGTATTTGCAGTTTGTTTATTTTTTTTGCATGTATAACAAACAAATTGCATATTGCCACGAAATATTTAGGCCTATAACAGGTTTTCAAGGGATGCTTCCTTATATAACTTTTCTTCCAACTACCGGACACTGCAGTTTGTGAGGAATTTGTATGAGAAGACTGAACCTGCAACCAACTGGCGTATCTCCTTACAGTGCAATGTGCATATTTTACTCAAGCATTCTGGGAGAAGGCTTATGAAAATTGAGATGAAATTAAAAACATTCAGCACCTTTTAGAAATCTGAACATTTTTTTCTTTCTAATTTGAAGAAAAAGATCCTTCATAGCACAGTTATGCTTAACTTCATAATGAAATCTAGCTTGTTATAATTTAAATAAATTCATTATCATGCCTGGGAGAATTTTAATTTGAAATCTTTGGAGCACAAACCATCGTAAGAACTCTGGTATAAATTGATATACCAAAAGTAACGGGACCAGCTGTGAAATGTAAGGTCCAGGAGATAGAGCAACTGGAGCTCAACGTTATCATAATGTACTGACATACTCTAAAGGGTAAGATTATTGCCTTGTAAAATCTATTTGCTTCATCATTGGTAGTAAGAAGAGTTAACGTCTCACCGAGTATAATTAATAGCGTATAATGTCCCTTAATATACAATATATGATCTATAAAAAAATCAAAGAATCAATATGCATGAGATTATTTTGAGCATATAATACTGTGTATTTTCCAATGATGAAATTTTATAATAAAAACGAAACCCCAAAACTATATCTTTAAGTAGGCTTAATTATTAAAATATTGACTATTTACTATTGATATGTGAAAATCTGAAGGTTTTCAAACATTCGTCTCATTTTAAGACAAAAACGTTTTGGTTAAGCTACTGCATCCCACTTCTTGGGAAGAAAACAGGCGCATTTGACTACAGACACACATCACGTTCATTTACCTTTAGAAAAGCCATTGTCGACATATAAAACCCGTTTTTAAATGCAAAGACAGCTTTGTCTTTTCTTTTTATAAGAAAATGTGACTGGAAAGGTGATTTCTTCCATCCAGCTGGTAGTCTGCTTGGCCACATTTTCAACTTCAAGGCGAAGAAAGTCAGCAGCAAAGCAGTTTGCAACAGGTGCTGCATTTAGAGCAGCTGGCTCTCTCTGGGATTTTACACGATTCTAGAAGCGGAACGTGCGCTGAAGTAATCCCTCTGAATATCCACTCCCAGCCCGAGCTCCCCCTGCTGGCCACTCACGGCTGGGCGCCCTGAGTGCGCAGCAGGCTCGCCGCCACGAGGAGCAGCTGTACGTGGCGTTCGTCTTTCACGCCCAGCCGTAGCACGTGGGGCTCAGTCAGCAAGGAGACCTGCTCCAGGGAGGTGAACCCGGCCTGGGTGAAGCTCCGGACGTACATGGGGAGGCCGATGGACACGAGCCAGTCTGCCGTTGTGCTAATCTGTCCTGCGGAGGGCGCTCTCTTTCCCAGCTCTGTCACGCCGCCCAGTGGAATCTGCAGCAGAAAGTGATGATGACTAATAGCAAAATGAAAGGATGCTTTGTTTGCCAATTGCATGTGTATGGGGACATAGGAAGGTTTTTTTTTTTTGCATATCCCATCTTGCTCTGGCAAAACCAGCTGAACCACAAACCCCCCCAGATCAAACATAGAAAATATATCAATACGTCCAATTCAGTCATATAAAAATCAGGATCTTGCTTTGAAAGTCCTGCTTCAAGCTGGGACAATTTGCTTTGCAACTGAAGATCTGAATCTAAGTGCAGATTCTTAACCACATTCATCCATCCGTCCACCCATCCATTTTCTGAAACCGCTGGTCCTATTCAGGGTTGTAGGGATCTTCTAATACACCCCGTAGAATCACACTAGGCTCACGCTATGGACACTCACAGCCATGCGATGCTGCTTGCGTAGCTGTTGGACCCGAATCTGGTCCATGCTGGAAACGATGTCTTTCACAGGCTGGTCCAGGTCTTCGGAATACCTCTGGGCCAGAGCTGGGGGGATCCCGCAGCGACCATGCTGTTGAAAATCGAATGTATTCCAGAAAAAGGTTGCATGAATCCCTGAGCGTCCAGAGAGACAGTGAAATGGACATTTCTCAAACAGAAGACACTCAAACCATGCCTTGGTGTAGGGCCCCTGAGGTTTGGGGCCCCCTGTTGGCCATAAGCAGTCACTACACCAGAGGGGAGGGGCAAAATTGACTTTTTGAATGAGACCCCAGAAACAAGAAACCTGCCCCTGAAGACAGCAATTGTGAGCAACGACATAAATATTTTTTTGTAGGAAACTAGCAGTCTTGCCTATGCAAAATATCTGTCCTCATTTAAAACCAATTTCCCTTTCCATGTGATAGGATGTTCATTGCAATTCACTGTCAATACATACATATATTAAATATTTCTGGTTTCTGGCCAGTTTATATTGAATATTTTCACAATTTTTTTTCCATAAAAACCATCAGAAACACCACAATAACCTGTAGAACCTGAGATGTCACAGCAAATTTACACCTTTAATTTTCCACAAACAGCACATACACAGATGTAACTCATTACTGAATTAAAGGTTGCATTTACTGTGCCTTATTTTCTGTTTTTTTTAGTAATTTAAGCCCACAGTAAAGCTCTTTTTCACGTTACACCAATGAGACCGGCACGTGCCTTGGTTCACTGCTATTGTCCTCTATTTAATGAACTTTAGTTTTATATGAAATGGTAAAAACGTGTTGATCATAAAATAAACACCCCTTAATCTAATTCTTAGCACCAGCCAAGTGAGAAATATGAGGTAAATGAACAGAACTGTTAAATTGAGACATAAAATTACTCTTTTCAAAGTGATCATAAACTTAATGAGCTTTGCACCAGTTATAAATCTGTCCTCATGCAGGATAATTAAGATTATTAAGACTTAATTTGAGTAAACAGAGTTGTACTCAGACCACAATGGCGATAGTGGTTGAATGTTTTTGCACCCAAACTTTTAATATTGACAAACAATAGTGAATATGTTGTTTTTCAGAACTGAATGGTTTCTCTGAAATGCAGGAGTGGGAAGCCATGCGCTTCTGTCATCTCCGGGGTCCCGCCAGGGCCACACAAAGACAGGGCCGGGCCCCTGGATAATTCTACTGAATGTTCCCTCCAAACCATTATCCAAGCTCACATAAATTACCTCTATTAAATGTGTATTTACAGCCAGATCTATCTTTTTAGGGGCAAAGTTTTCCTTGAGAGCCCCTCCTACTAAGAAAATTGATCATTTCCTTCGCAACGTGGGTAATTCGGCCCCATACTGCCTATTCTGTCTATAGCTATATATTTCAACTTGTTTTAAGAGTTTTAATATAAAAAAATTCAGTGATTATTTTCCATGCCATGCTCATCGACGACAACATTTGTCATGGGCGCCCGCTAGTGTCCGGGAAAGTCCTCCCATTTCTCCCCCTTATGTGCGCCCCCCCGCCCTGGTCTTTCAGGAGTGTAGCTTGGGAATCGTGCTCACCTTGTCAGAGTACGGCTCCTCGGTAAGGTCGATGCCCTCCACGGCGAGCCGGTCCTCTAACAGTGACTCCAGGTCAGCCGCCCTGGCATGCCAGCTCTTCCTCCCGGAGGGTGGCTTGCCCCCTCGTGTCTGGGGGAGGTCGGAGAGCCAGGGCGGAGACACAGCGGGATGGGGGTCCTCCTCCTCGGTGCTGCATTCAGCGGAACTGGCTGCCTTGCGGGGTTTCGTCGGGCGAGGGGGTGGGGCGGGACTTCGAGAGGGAATGCCTGACTCTCGGGGCCCGTTGGATGATCTATACCGGGACTTTTTGAGAGGAACTGGTGGCGGTACTGGTGGCTTTTTAGGGTATGTCCGTAGGGGTGCAGCCCGGAGGGTCACCTCTGCTGTACAGGTCGCTGTAGGACGGGGTGACGTTATGGGCTGTGCTGGAGCCTTATAGGAGCTGCTGGAATGTTCCACAGCATAACGCCCAGGTGCTAAAGACTTCTTCGGACTTAGACCGAAGGGGCGGGGCTTAGTACGGGACTCCGCCCCCGAACAGAAAATCGGCAATGGCTTGAGTACAAAAGCCTGGAAGTCCCTCTTATTGGAACCCCGGACCTGCTGGAGGTGTCCCAGAGAGTGAGAGCGTTCCCACAATCCTTCAGGAAAGAGGGGCCTGTGCAGATCTTCACAGCTGCGGCTAACTGCCACCAGGTAGGGGCTCTTTTGCAAACGGGGGGGGCTCTGGTCAGAACCCTTGATGACCACCTGCTTATCGAGGAGCTGTTCTGATTTGTTCTGGAGCCAAGCCTCTGCGGAATCGACCGCAGGGACGGCAGGGCAGTCGCATCTGTACGTGGCCGAGGAGCCGCCGAGACGAGACAACTTCCTGCTCTTGCCTGAAACAAACAATTTGCCTCGAGTAAGTTTTCTGGGTCTGTCCTACTTTCAGCTTGAAGGCCTCTTCAAGGCTGCCAGCACTGCTGGTATCTTACATATTCGTGTGGAGAGGACCTCAGTCACTCACAGCACACAACAGACACGTGATACGGACTGAAGGTACACAAACACAGGGAGGACAGGCAAACTTCACACCAACACTCAGCCCTTGAGATGTCAAGTTTCAGCTTAACCCCTGAGACACACGGTTGCCAAGTCTCACGCATATAGCGTGGAAATCATGCTTTTAGACTCTCAGGCTAGGCTTATGGCAGATATATATTGTAAACCTTAAATTAGCTACATCCAAAGTACTGGAGTGCTTTGCAAACCATACAGACTATTTACTAGTTACATGTAAATGTGTGTGCATGTGTGTGCTGACTAGAATTGAAAAGCTCCATCCGGCTGACCAGAGTTGGCATCCCAGGAGATGCCCCAATCTCCACACCAACCTACAGATTACCCAGGAATTTCTATTCGTACCTGTAACCTTTGTAACTTGTAACGATGGCCATCATAGTTATTTGTTGAGTAGTCAAAAGTTACCTTCATGACTGCACAATTTTTAAAAAAAATATTCTCACCTAAAGTTGAATAATAAATTGCAGGGCATTTAGGTGGATGGACAACTAAAATTATTACCATTTTCTAGTAGGATACTGAAGCCATGCAAAAAGTATGACACAAGATTTACAGTATCTTACCATCTTAGCCTAAGTGTTAATCGTGAACTGCAAGGATATAGTCAGCATTTAAGCACGTGCAGAGAAGGGGAAAAAAAAACAGTGAATTTGCGGACCATTAAGTTAATCAGAATTGTTTTTACACCCGTGACAGTACAAATTACGCAGGTTCATGCAAAGACCACTCGGCACAATCAGGCAGGCAATCAGGAAATCGGCGTTGTCAGAATGATTGTCGAAAAGGTCGTTTTCCAAATAGTTTCGAGCCAGAAGGAAAGTGAGCTTCCCAGGCAGAGGAAGACAAAGAAGTCAGCTGTAAATTACATATTCCTGACGGTGCTTAGTATGAGTAGCTGGAGAAACAGGAGGAAAAGTGAGGAAATAAGGAAAAGCAGGCCGAGCTGAGTGAGTCACTATGCCGTTTATTCGACGGTATCCATAGCTACCGTACATCTCTCCACACAGGCAGGAAACAGAACTTTGAAAGCGATTAAAGCAATCAAGGCAAACAAACTCAAATCAGCACTAATGTTATAAATATCTCCCCAGGTGAAACACACAGCTAGGTTAGTCTAAGAATAATTTAATAACACTAATAATATGACAATTTCAATGCTGCTATGATAATCTGTCAGAAAGGCTTTTTGTTGTTCAGTTTCGATCAGTATTAAAGTATCACTTTTTCTTATAAAAAATAGCATTGTGTAACAATATTTTGTTAAGAACATCCATACATCCTTGGGTAACATTATAAATAATAACCCCTAAAAAAATAAATGCAGAACAATAACAAAACTGTAAGAATGAAACAGAAGCACAGGTTTGGTGAATCACTAATTTGTCACAACTCTTCATATTAGTAACATGTTCACTAGCGGCTTCAGCTAGATCAAAATACAAGATTTTAAAACCAGTTTTTCGGTAGTATTAGTTCTCGTTTGCATTTGTGAGATTAAGTTGTGTTTTAAGACCAAAACTGGGTCACATATTTGTTCAACAGTGTGAATGAGGAGGAAAAAAACGTTCTCATTGATCAAACTGCTTTTGATGTAGTTCAGATCAACAGCTGCTGATTCATTGCACAGTATAAACACGTTCAACTGCTCGTCATGAATTTTCAACCAAAGGAATGGTGATAGTGCACCGATATGTCATAATAGAGTACTGATACATGATGATACGGCATTGATACATGATGATACGGCATTGATACATGATGATACGGCATTGATACATGATGACAGGGCACTGATAGATGCCCTTATAAAAATGGTTTCCTATGGTTTTTATGCAGTAACCATAGTTTTACTATGGTACCTTATGGTACTTTGGTACTACCCATAGTACTACCATGGTTTGGAAAGACCATTGTAAAACAAAAACCATGGTTTATGACCAAGATTATACTAGGGTTTAACTGTAGCGAAACCATGATAAAACCATAGTCATGGTTTCCATAGTTACCCAAAAAAACCATGAAAAACGGCAAACCATTGTAAACCATGGTTATTTAATCATAGTAAAACCATGGTTAATTTTTGTAAGGGTGATGACAGGGCACTGATACCACAGCATAGGAGCCTTCAACGTTTCTCAAACCAGGACCCCCGAAGCTGGGAAGCCTCTGTCCCTAATGTGTGATCACATCTGACCCCAGGCTGAAAACCTCTGTCCTAGTATTACACCATTTGATGATTGCCGCCATATTAATATTCCATATGATGATACAGTGTTGATTCCATATGATTATATGGAACAGATACCTCTTAATGATACCATACTGTCACTGCTAGATGAAAATCTATGTCCACTTTGACATTTGTCAGTATTCACTATACATGGAATATATCCATTCTCCTCTGTCTGCTGATAGCATCTGACATCTAATTGACCAATTAAAAGATGTTTTGTGAAGTCATCAGTGACGGCTGTGTAAAGACAGGTCTCCATTTGTAGTGCTAAGGGGGTTCTCATTACGTTGTTTTAGGTTTATTTTTTAGTTTTAGAGAAAATGCCATTTTTTCATGCTCGCGAAATAATGTACTTATGGAGATACATGATTTTCATCAGACAGTGACGATATGGTAATAGAACATTGATACTGTACCATGCTTGTTTTGTAATAAATAGGTTCACGTCATGTGGTCACCTTTATCACTTTGGAAAGCTGGTACAGAGGACAGTATGGATAGTGGTGGGAGAAGGGGGTCCTCTACGCCACCACAGAAAGAAAGGGTAAGGTGTGATCAGCATGGCGGACACACCAGACCCGAGAGGCAAGGGAGGAAGTTTCGTGTTTACGTGCTCAAGGAGGACCGGCCAAAGAGAGCAGGTGGATGCGGGGAGTTTCGTTACCCGTCTCCAGGTTCTCGTTGCTGGCGTAGCAGCCAGAGTCTCGGGGTGTGCTGCCCAGCCGGTCCTCCTTATCAGAGAGGATCTGCTCCTTGGAACCAGAGCGGCCTATGCGATCTGAGTCACTGTTACCTAGGAGATACAATGGGGTCGCATGAACACGGATGGGAGGTGCTGACATGAGGAAGGGCCTGGCACTAATGCAAATTTCCCTGGAAAATTCTGTCACGAAAAATCCTAACTAAAAAAATGTTTTGTTTTTGCTTTGTTCAGATGGCTTTGGCTGCAGTGGAAGTAAGAACCAACAGGACTTTTTAATAGACATTTTAGAAGTTGAACAGTTGAGTGTGTATTTCTCTGCACCAGGGTGAATATCGTTAAGGAAAACAAAAACTTTAACAACATTTTCGTAAACTGAAATATAATAATATAAGAAATAAAACAAAAAGCTACAACTAAATAAAAACTATGAATATTGCATCTGAAACTAACATATAAAAAATACCCTCCAATTTCCGTTCTGTTTATGTGTGAGATATATATATATATATATATATATATATATATATATATATATATATCACACAGAAATATATATAGGAATATTTTAAATAAAAACTAATAAAACAACATTGAAATGAACTAAAACTAAACAGGATTTCAAATGAAAATTGAAAATATAAAAATATAAATTCAATTAGAAAATCGCGACTATAATATCAGCGGTCTGTACACATGCAGATGCGTGAAAGCCGGCCTGGTGCCTGCCCACTCACTGGCATCGTCCTCCTGCAGTATCTCCACGGCCGACAGCAGAGCCGCTCTGTGCTGCGGGTCCTGAATGTTCAGCTCGTTCAGGTCCTCCTCCTCCAGCAGCTTAAAGGTGTCCAGCTCCTCATACCCGTTGAACAGGAAAGTAGCCATATACTCCTGGAATTGTGAGAAGGACCAGGACAGGTGTGTTATCCCATGTTAGCAGCTAGGATACATCTCCTATAGCAAGGTTTCTCAACCCAGTCCTATAGTGTCGTATTGGCAGTGAGCGGGGAGCCATTCTGAGGCAGCATAGGGCATGAGGTAGGGGAGACCCTGGAAGGGATGCCAGTCTATCACAGGGCACAGGGCAGGGGACACCCTGGATGGGATGCCAGTCTATCACAGGGCACAGGGCAGGGGACACCCTGGATGGGATGCCAGTCTATCACAGGGCACAGGGCAGGGGACACCCTGGAAGGGATGCCAGTCTACCACAGGGCACAGGGCAGGGGACACCCTGGACGGGATGCCAGTCTACCACAGGGCACAGGGCAGGGGACACCCTGGAAGGGATGCCAGTCTATCACAGGGCACAGGGCAGGGGACACCCTGGACGGGATGCCAGTCTATCACAGGGCACAGGGCAGGGGACACCCTGGAAGGGATGCCAGTCTATCACAGGGCACAGGGCAGGGGACACCCTGGACGGGAGGCCAGTCTATCACAGGGCACAGGACAGGGGGACACCCTGAACGGGATGCCAGTCTATCACAGGGCACAGGGCAGGGGACACCCTGGATGGGATGCCAGTCCATCACAGGGCACAGGGCAGGGGGACACCCTGGACGGGATGCCAGTCCATCACAGGGCACAGGGCTGGGGACACCCTGGACGGGATGCCAGTCTATCGAAAGGTACATGCTCACACACCACAGGCAATTTAGAGACACCAGTTCACCGTACTGCATTTGGAAAGCAAGAGAAAACTGGAATAACTGAAGGAAATCCACTGGGCCAAAAATAGAACATGCAAACTCAGGGCCGGCCCAACATTTTTCGATTGATTAATCTAGTTATTTGTCATCGCCCTTCCCATTCTGACAGGCTGATCGGGGGGGGGCATACACAGTAATGCGTTGTTACACAGCTCAGTGTATCCGTGTGCCTCTCTTCTTGGAACCGCTTTCTTTGCTCACCTTGAGGTTGACTTGCTGCAGAAGCTCCTCCACGGAGGTGGGCTTGGGTGGTCGGCCCTTCCGCTTGGTCCTCCTGGGCCTCTTGGGCTTCTCCGCCTCCTCACTCAGCACGTCCACGTAGATGAACTTAAAGGATCCCACCTTGTTGTTCAGCAGGCCCATCCATGTGCCCATCGGGGGCTTGCTTATGATGTCGATGACGTCACCTCTCTGTGGGGGGACATAAAGACACCTTGGCTGATGGAAATTGCTCTGCATGACTCAGAAACATTGGCGGAAATTAGAAGAAGCAGTGGCACAAGGAAACAGAACTGTAACTGTAAGAGAAGTACGTAAGATACCTAAGGTGACTCTGGTATTATACATTTTGACCCAAGGTGACTCTAGTATTATGGACAAATGGTGACTCTACATTACAGACTATCGACCAAGGTGACTCCAGTATTATGGACTTTTACCCAGGGTGTCTCATGTATTAAAGACTTTTTCCAGTGGTTATTCTGGTATTATGAACTTTTATTCAAGGTGACTCATGTATTACATAAGGTGACAGGTATTACAGACTTTTGCCCAAGGAGACTCTGGTATTACAGACTTTTGCCCAAGGTGACTCTGGTATTACAGACTTTTGCCCAAGGAGACTCTGGTATTACAGACTTTTGCCCAAGGTGACTCTGGTATTACAGACTTTTGCCCAAGGAGACTCTGGTATTACAGACTTTCACCCAAGCCGACTCCAGTATTATGAACTTTGACCCAAGAACAGAAGCTTTAACGGCACTGTATAGGACATATTGGTTGAGGTAATTCAGCGAAAGCAGTATAGCTATGGAAGCTCCATTCGCTTAAATAAGCATCATCACCAGATGCACGTTCCTAGAAAATCTCATAAGGAGATCACTGGGGACATTTTCCTTGAGTTTGAGAGAGTCATGACAGCTGAAGATTGGGAACTACTTCTTTGTGTGCGTGTGCGTACCTTGAGCTTGAGGGAGTCCGTGTCGTAGGGGCTGGGCGTGAAGTCAGTGTGCACTCGTGCCCGGCCGCAGAAAGGCCCCCTGTAAGGAAGCTCTTCCTCGTCGCCGTCCTCGGACTTCACGCTCTCCCTGTTGCTGGCTGTGGAGTCGGTGGTACTCACCGTCTGTCCGCCTGGAGGACAGAACACAACACAAGGGCAGTTCAACTCCTAACTCATACAAGCAGGCCTGGTCTAATAGATACCAATCCATCCATCTTCCAACTGCCAGTCTGGTCAAGGGTGATGGTATAATTAATAATGATAATCACAATAAGTTATATATTGTATTCATATAAATTCATATATAATTTATGTATATAATAATTATTAATAATGTCTAATCTGTGATCTTTATTATTCTTATTATTAAGCAGAATATTTCATGCAAAAGAAGTTACATAGTTTTTGATATTTAATCTTTTTTCCTGTTTCTATACAAATCAGTGTCATTTTGATTGTCTGTTTGGAAGGTAAAATAATAGAGACCCCCCCCCCCCCCCCAAACCAGAAATTCTTTTTATCAGAAGTCCTGCACCTTGAAGCGGGAGTGATGATCTGCTTATATTTTTAGATTTCACCTTTACTCAGCAAACACTTTCATCCAAAGTGACACACATTTTGAGGAAGTGGGGTCTGCTACTTTCTGGAGTGCTTGTGGGTTAAGGGTCTTGCTTATGGTCCTAATGACAACACCACTCTGCCTATCCTGGGATTTGAACTAGTGACCTACTGACGACAGACACAGCTGCTTAACATGCTGAGCCACACGTAGCTGAATAAAAAATTCGTTGTAATCTGATGCTTTTATGCTAACATTTTCCAGCGTCATCTTCTGCACATTTGGTGCTAATGCTAATGTAGCAAATCTGAGAAGCTGAAAGAAACCATAGAAAGACGTTCGGCTGCAGTAGATGGAGTTGCTGCATGCATGCAGACACACTTACTCATGGAGCTCTGTCCGCTGAGTGAGCTACGCAGGCTCTCCACAGAGCCCCCAGCCTTCAGCTTGGGCTTCTCCGCAGCATTAGCGCTGAGCTGAGGGGACTGGGGCGAGCTAAGCGTCCCTTCAGGGCTTAACTACAGCAGAGTGAAAAAAAACAGACAGTTCAATAGGTCTGCCAGCAGGTGGCACTGCAAACTAAGACTGAAAAACAGAGGGCTATTTTCCCATACTGTTATTCATACACATAATTATTTGTGGTCTTGTGGTATTATTTGCTAAATATTTACTCGTCAAATGTTTTATAAAATATAACTCCTGCTCAGCTGATCCTTATTTTTTCAGATAACACTTAAAGTTGAACAAAATGATTCATGTAATCCTGGTTTGGACAAACAAGGAGCTTCCTGTTGAAAGGTACCCTTGTTGGCTCTGTTAAGCTCCCCCTCTCCTCTCCACACATTGCCAGTCACCCCTTGCCATATTAATTTCAGCGTCAAATCTTACGCTGTAACCTAACAGTATCCCTTTATTTCTGTGCCTTCAGCCCATGCTGGCTTTCTGAAGAACGGTTTGCATTGCAAGTATGAGACCCTAACAGTAAGAAAGTCTGCATTGACCCATTAAAAAAAATTTGAATGTCTTGCCTCGACACAGTTTTCATTAAAAAATCCCCAATTGGGCATTTTGTGAATGAAGTCCACTGAAGGGGTCATTTCACTCTCTTGGTGAGTAGCTAAATATTTCCGAACTTTTCAGAAACTCTTGGTAGCTTTGGACGGCAGAGCCGTGAGCACAAGGCGACGTCGTGACACCGACCTGCTCGGACACGGAGCCGCTGTGCTTCTTGGAGATGCGTTTCTTCATGGTTTCCTTCACCGACTTCACCTTCTTGCCCAGGGAGGTCCGAGGGGTTGCCGGAGACTTCATCCCCTCCCGGGGACTGCAATCTCTCTCTTTGCTCTGCAGCAGAACTCCAGTTCACGACTCGGCGCCGATAAGAATGAATTTCTAATCTGTTTCGACTAAGTACTGTCCTACTCACCGAGTCTCGACTCTGGGCCACGTGGAGGGAACGGTTCGAAAGGTCAAATCCTCCAAAACTGCAGGTTCTCTGGTTGAAAAGAACAAAATTAACACTTATTCCATTTTACATATTTAGCAGATACCTGTATCCAAAGCAACACACATTTTTGAGAATGCAGAGTCAAACAGTCCCTGGAGCGAATGGGATTAAGGCCTTTGCAAGGCCGTAAGTATAATATGTATCGTTCCCACCAATGCTGACTCCATGGCTACAGTTTTGGGTCTTTGCTCTCAGGCCCAGCAGTGAAATCACTCTGCCAAGACTGACATTTGAACCAGCAACCTTCTGATCACAGGCACAGTGTCCTAACCCTCTGAACCATGCACCACCCCGGCTTGGATCCACAAAGCCGTAGAAAATTGGAATGACATGAGCTGCCTCTATAAACCAAAACATCAATCACCATTTGATACATTTCTTAGATTCAGCCAAAGCATGAACACATATTATTTCACCAGCAATTACATTCACTGTTTTCACCATGGTAACGCAAACATAAAGAGTTTTAAATGCTGGGAATTTCTCCAACTGGAATGGTCAGCTGAAATCTACAGAGCTGGGTCTCACGTTGTAGGAAACACTATGACAGAGTCATCAAACGTCTCTGATAACTGGTGCAATAGTTTGGTTCAAGGAGAGTCTTTCTTGGGTTTCCACATATTTGTAAGGCCCTTGGCCAAGGCTATACCAAATTACTCTGCTTATGAAGTGGGAAATAAAGTTTAAGGAGCTTCTTTGTTAGCCATGGAATCACAGAGCACGCAGCCAAATGGTTGTGGTGTTTCGGAGAATTTTTTTGACACCAATCCCTTGGTTTCCCCTCTCGTGTTCTTACCCCGTGGGCTGGAGATCCATGGGCCCTGTGCATCTCGCTGTCGGTCATGGAGCGGGAGACTTTGGACTCTTCCCTCCTCCCGGCCTTTGCCTCGGCTAGGGGGGAGTCCTGGATGCCGCCCCCATCCGCGGTTCCTGGGTGGACGAGGGACTGGCTGCTGCTGGACCTCAACAGGAGGGGGCCCGGCCGCTTGCTCCGGGCTTCTGGGTTGCCAGTGGAGGGGGAGGCTGTCTGGATTTGTGGGTCGCCCTCCCTGAAGAGCAGCCCGCGGACCAGGGCAGGCGAGGAGCCGTCCACCGGTCTTCCGGGAATCTTCACCACATCGGTGTACAGGGCTGCACTGTCTTCACATGCTGGCAAGGCCTCAAAGCTTGAACGCTCTACATTTATTGCACAAGCCAAAGAGAGTTTAACAAAAGTGTTTCTGCATTCCCTTATAAACCTGCAACCTGTCATTCCTTCCAGTAGCTAAACTAATATAGCCTGTGTCATTAGCGGCTGTCATTTTGTTACAAGGCCAATACGCCGCAATGTTACACCTTATCTGAATTAATCCCTCAATTAATGAATAAATCAATCAACACACACTGTGAGAGTCACTAGTACAGGGACATGCCATACAGGAAAACTTTTTCATATAGTGCAGGGTTATTCCAATCGAGGTCTGAGCACTGTGGATTTTCTAGCCTTCCTTTACCTGTGATCCAGGTGTGAAGCCTATGTGGCCAATCAAGAATCAGTAATTATTAAACTAACTACCTGGGAGAACTGAAAACAAGGCCTGGATTTGTAATCGAGGTCCAGATTTGAAGAGCCTTCATATAGTATTTATATGTTTAAAATGAGGTTCAAAAGTCACCTTTATGCCAAGTCTGAGTAAATTTAGTCCATTCACATTCCAAACACACCATAACATGTCTAATGCATTCATTCAGAATGCAGGAAACTTCTGAAAGCAGCCCTTCTTGTGCGTCAGTAAGCCTTACCTTCCGATGTTGACTTTTTCCCATCCTCTACCTTGATCAGTTTCTTCTTCACCCTACGGGTTGAGTTGACTAGCTTATGCAGCCGCCTGAACTTGACGCAGTCGTCCAGCTCGTCGTCTGACTGTTCCCTGGACTGCTGAATGACACGGTGAATCATGAGAAAACGAGTCTGGTACAATGGCGTCATCAGCCCACAGTAGCTGCAGCATGAGATGCTTTGGCTCTCAGAACCTCATGTCTTGGTCTCGCGCCTAGCAGACTAACCCCTGTGGCTAAAAGATGTGCCCAGCTGCGGTGACGCCGCTTCAAGTCCCAGTAGCTTCCAGATGGAAATTACTGGTTCGCGACCATTCTGCTCTGAACGCCTGGAGATTTATGCAGATGCCAGGACATGTTTGGTAATCCAGAGTTTTCTGGAACATTATTATTATTCGTGAGTGACAACTGAAGTTTGGTGTTCACGTGTTTTTTTCCCCCCCACGGTCCAAAGATATGTGGTTTACATAAATAGTTTTTTCCCTTGATTGTGTGTCTGTGTTCTAGTTGTCCCACTCAGTCCTGCCAATGTTATATCCAGCCTTGTTCCCTATGCATTCTGGGATAGATTCCAGGCTCAGCGTAACCCCATGCTGAACCAATGGTTATGGAAGATTTAGTACTAGCATTTACTCTGTATACATTTGTATGTCTAATACGTTTCATGATTGAGCAATGAAAAATATGAAAATAAGATGACAGAACAGAAGGAACAGCGAGACAGTGTTAAAGAAGGGTATTTTTCCAGTGCACCAAAAATTTGCGAGAAACTAAAAGGGTAACTAAAAGTTTACGTTAGCAGTGACACCAACTTGAGGTTAGATTGTGTGCCCTAATTCAGATTAGCATTAGCATTTATGATACTGACATTAGGCCCTAATTCAGATTAGCATTAGCATTTATGATACTGACATTAGGCCCTAATTCAGATTAGCATTAGCATTTATGATATTGACATTAGACCCTAATTCAGATTAGCATTAGCATTTATGATACTGACATTAGCAACTCTCCTCTTTCCATGACCTATTTCATTTAGTTTGGGTTCAGTTTACAGTTTAAAACTGTCCTCGTCCATTTGGCTCATAATACTGATCAGTCTCTGCTACCCAGACTATCACACATTCACTGCTTTAGGGGGAAAACTCCACTCTAAACCCCCCAACTGCTCTAAATGGAGTTCAAACACTGAACGCTTCATTCAAATTCAACACTAAGGCTTCTGTCAGTGGCCAAGCCGTCTGATCAAATACAAAAGCCCAATTCACAGGCCGTAAATTGTAATCCATACACCACAGATCGGGATGAAAAGACAGATACATTATCAAAAATGTTTGTTGACGCTGCCTTGGCTTCCAGCTGATGTCATAAGTGAGGAAGCAAGAAAACAGGCCAGTGCTGTTGATGGAAATAAGCCAGATGAGCATGAAAATGAGCGAGATGAGTATTACATGGAGGAATTAGAATGTTAGAACCTGAGAAGGCTAAAGAACATTCCGCTGTGAGTAAGAGCTGACGTTTTGCCAGGCACAAAACTATGCCTCAGCATAAAACAATGCGTGCAAATTGTTACAGTAAATGGTCACTGACATGAGGACCAAGATCTTCCCAAAAGACGCAAACATCAAAATACAGTTTTACAGATAGTAGGAAAAGATAAGACAAGACAAGACAAGATAAATCTTTGCTGATCCCTGTGGGGGGAAATTTCTTACAGCAAAAGATAAAGTAAGTAGAAAGAAATACAACTAAGTAAAAAGACAATAAATATGCAAGGGAAAATCTGTAATAAAATTATACATTAAAGTATATGGTGAAAGTAGTGCTATAGCTGTACACTGACTTACCCTGGGACAGATCGTAAGACATGCTGTATGTGGTACTGAAGCTTTGATACACTTGTGCTGTGAAATCGAAATCTGAGATCTGACTCTAGTCGCAGAGGGTTTGCCTGCCTTAAAATGTCAAAAATAAATGATTTAATAGAAAGAATGCCCTAAGAAATGTATCACTCACCACGGTGATGTGCGATTTGGTCACATCACTAGACATGCAAGCTCTGATCCAGCTATCACAGAAACTGAGGCACGTGGCAGAAGCTTCTCACAGTTGCCTGATAATCCCAGAAGCCAAAGGAAATATATAAATGCACTCTTCTATAGGCAGGTACAGCCTTTCCATAATGGCCTATGGCAGCCTGGGATTTTCCTCATTTCTAATCCTGTCTGTCGAGGCCGCAGAGCCCCGGACAGCTGCTACTTCCTGATATCACCGATCTTCCTGCCTGCAGCGCTCCGGGGGCCGCACTGCTGGCAGTCTGACAGCTGCTGCTTCTGCAGAGCACTGGTTGCTTCTGCAGAGCACTGGCAGCGCTCCGGGGACACGCTTCTCAAAGGACGCGCATCCGTTGTGCGCGTTTCGATGGGGTGACACCGTTTGTTACGTCTCCCTACTCATTTCAAAATAAAGCAGGAGTCTCTAAGTCTACAGGTTGAGTTAAAAAATAACATTAGACTCGCTAAGAAGAATGTAGGAAGGAAGATTGCATTGGAGGCTAAGGATGACATTAAAAGTTTCTTCCAATATTTTAAAAAAGCTGAAATCACTCATCTGCGGGATAGTAAGGGTCTTATAATTGAAAATGAAATTGATATAGTAAATGAATTTAATGATTATTTTACACCGGTGTTCACAGTAGAGAACACAAGTAACCTGCCACCATTTAGTACAAATACAGCATCGTCTATGACCAATATATGTATAACTGAGGCTGATGTGGTACTAAGCCTAGCTAAGCTCAAAATGGCATCTTACCTATAGTTTTAAGAGAGATGAGGGATGTTATTTGCCAACCGTTAACATTACTATTCCAGAAATCGTTATCTGCGGGTGTGGTACCTTCTGATTGGAAGCATGCTAATATAACACCCATATTCAAAAAAGGGGATAGAAGTAATCCAGCGGCCAATCAGTTTAACAAGCATTACTGGAGGTGATGAAAGCTATAATTCAAGGGAAAATGGTAGATTACCTGGATTAAAATAACATTCTGAGGGATAGCCAACATGGATGTAGGAGAGGTAGGTCCTGTTTAAACAGGTGAAAGTGAAACTAGGACTCATAGCCAGGGCCAGATTAATAGCATTAAGTGTCCCTGGGCAACGGCACATATGATGTCAGGTCAAGAAGTAACAGAAGTAATTGGTGGCTCGCAAAATTCAGAAATGATTCTAAATAAAGGGAAAGGTTAGGTAGTCTCTTCAGTGAGCGTCATATTAAAGGAACAATATACAATTATACTAGATATTAAATCACATTAATTTGTTAAAAGACGTTTATGAATGGGATGGGGGGGGGGTCACTCTGATTGGTGCCCGTAGGCATGTGCCCAAAAGGTTAATTCAGGTCAGTTCAGGGTCAGCCATTTATACGGCACCCCTGTAGCATTTTGGGGGAGGGGGGGTTTGGAGCCTTGCTCAAAGGTCCAATGGAGATGTGATTATTTTGCTAATGACCGGATTTGAACCTGCAACCTTCTGATCGCAAATGCGGAGGCATAACCCACTGAGCCCGGATATGCCCCTCTAGCTGCCTCCAGTGGGCTATCGGCCATGACTCGGCCCCCCGGCTAAGATGCTTAGTGCCGGGCTTGATGTGGGCTGGGTGACTCTCTCGTTCAAATCAAGAATATGACTTTGGGGGGAACATGCCCCAACAGCCCAAATACCTGCGCCTTTATCTCCATCCAGTGCACAACTCAGTCAACAGTAATTAAATTAAATTAGAGCTCGTAAACAACATCGGGAACCGTTTCTACAATCCATCCCGCCAGCTAAGGCTGAAAACAAGCTAGTTAACTGCGCTCCCACTGCGAGACTTCAGCATGTCTGTCCGCTTTCTGAAACGATTAATAAACTAGATGGTCTGTCTGAGAGAAGCCTGTTTACTAACCCCTAGTGAGCGCCAGACGTAGCTGAGGCCTTCACTGATATAAAGATGGGAAAATTATGATAAAACAACCATAAAATAATGGTCCAAAAAAACAAAGGTAACACGTTACTTGAAGCCATCATCTATAATGCACTATAGACACTTTCATAATGCATGTTGATGTAAGAGTTAATAAAGCATTACAGTATTTTCTACTGATAGTCATAAGGCATTATAGTGTAGATTAATGAAGCTGTCATCTATAATGCACTAAAGATACCTTCACAACGCATTATAATGGTCGGTATAAGGATTAAGGATGCTTTGTACTGCATTATAAAGGTATCTATACTGCATTATAGAAGAGAGCTTCATAAAGCATTCATAACGCATAATAAACATGGCTATAATGTGTTATGCCTTTTTACTTTTTATAAGTATTGATAGCCATGTTTATAATGCTTTATGAATGCATTATAATGTGTTTTGTATGTGTTCATAGATTCTTATAGACATGGCTTTCACAGAAAGTGTTACCAAAATGAAAAAGGTGATTTGAAGAGGACAGCACTATAGAAGCCTTGTCTAAGGCATTATGAGTTTGAAGACTTACACTGAAGTTTGTGGCTTCCTTTACACTGGGACTGGATCCATCAGTCCTCACTACATTGTCAGAACTGCTGGATAGTCTGGTCTGGGTCTCAAACTCCTTCAGCTGGTGGGGGGGGGGAGTGAGGGGGAGAAAAGAATTGAGACTTTGCATGGGCGGCACTTGGGTCTCAAACTGGTTAGGAGGACTGAGGAATGTCATGTGATTTTAAGAGGAGACTAATCCCTATGCAAGCAGACGGCCACAGCCTGCTGTCGTTTTCTGTGGGGCAGCCAATCAGCAGGCGCCAACGTTTGTCAAACTTCAGCGGCCAGAACAGAAAACATTGATGGGGCCATCATCTGTGCAATGGATGGAAATCAAATTTGATTCAGCTTCCAGAATTCACAGATGTTCTTTGGGAGAAGTGAGAGTTTGAGAAAAGGTGAGAATGACACAAACCCCTTCTAATCAAACTTCATGGCCACTTCACTGTATCAGTGGAGACATCCACTGTAAGGTATACAGTGACTTTCCCTTCAGTGAGGTGTTGCTACACAAAAGAGACACTGCAAAGGGTTAACTCTCAGCTGCACCTGAAGTTGAACCTGAAGTTGCTGCTTTTTTGATGGCGAAGAAGAGAAGAGAAGAGAAGAGAAGAGAAAAGAGAAGAGAGAAATGTGTGGTGTCATTCCTGAGGTGACACCTTGGCTAGGTGCCCACAGGTTTGTGGAGAGATTTCCTACCCGTGCCAGAGCCTCCTCCACAGTGATCATCCTCTCCTTCACCATCATCATCAGCTGGATTCTCTCTTCATCGCTCATGGTGATCTCGCTGGCCAGGAAGCCAATGTCTTCTCCTGGGGGGAGGCAAACATAAAAGACCATAAAGAGAACGGAGGGTCACAGAGCTCCCGTGGAAAACCTGATAACTGACCTAGAGTCACTTCATTCCAAGGTTAATATAGACAAAATACCGAAATCAAAAACGGAACCCTGTTTGATTCTTGTTTCTAATGCAACAACATTAGGTAGAATTTAGCCTGTGATATAAAACTGAAGAACCCCCAAAACTTTACAATGTCCCTTTGCCAGTTTACCACATACAGTATCACGAATACAACAGAAAAATACATAAAGTAATCCAACAATGCAATACCACAGCTATATAAAACGGGAGTAAAAATACTAAAATTACAGTAAAAATGACCAGAGCCCATAAACCTAAACAGTACTCAAGTGATACCGGAAAGCAATAAAAACGGCATGGTCCTGTGAAGATGGATTGATCTTTCACAGATGAGTAGCATCTCATTCTCCGCCTCCTGCTTCTTTACCTTTCGATGTCGGCATCGTCGATCGCTTCTGCAGTTTCCTGAAATTCTGCCAAAACGACTTGTTCTTCTTTTTACTGTCCCATTTCCCTGCGTAACGGTACAAACATCCACGATGGCTTCAAAACGGCAGAAACACTAATCATCCCTTGTCTACACAAGCGCAGGCTGAAGCCCAATCATCCGTCTTCCACTTAAGTAGGGCAGGGCGGTTTGGAGCCCTAAGCTTATCTCAGATATAATCATGAAGATCATGTCCATCAATTACAGGACTCATACAGGCTCATTCTACAGACAATTTAGAGAAACCTAAAGAAGAAACTTAAATCTCAGCCTCGGGGCTGTGGGGAAGAGACCTGGGCAGAACACAAAAAAGTGAAACTCTACACTCGTGTCGCTGGGACGGGATCGAAACCCAGAGCCACCGGGTGTGAAGCTGCGGTCTTTCCGTCGTTCCCGCCTGGCCTTTGTGTGAAAGCAGACACAAGGCATGCAAGCTTTCTGCTGGAGTGGGGCAGAGCTAAGGAGCTGTTTATGCTCCGCTGACATTCTTCCCGATGTGTTTTATTGAGTCCAAAAATTACAGCCTTTATCTTCATTTTTAAGTGGGCGGCGAACGTCGACATTGCGTGAAATGCTACAGTTTATGGAGGTAATTTTTCCGTAAGATGTTAACAAGACGGAAAACTTGCGGGTTAAAGCGTCCCACCGGGACGTGTGACCTCATTTCGAAAGGGACCCCGCCACGTGACATCAGAACATGGCTCGCCGCCGTTCAGAAATATTTGGCTCCCTACGGAGGGATGACGACCCGGGCCTTGGAGGGAGCTTGTTGTTGCTCGGCCTGCCTTTGTCTGCCGGTCCTGGGGCAGGAGGCACCATCTCCACAACAAAGCTGACAGTATCAACCAGCAGCCCCTTGGGATTCTGGGAGTTTTTAGAAAAGCAGGTGCCAGTGGCGTGAAGACTCTGAAGAGTCGTAAACGCCAACATGCCCTTTACACTTACGTGTGCAATGACAACCCATCAGGACTAGTTTAGCATAAAAACCTTAGTATTACTAACCTCCAGATCCATCTTCTGAGCTTGACTTGTGAAGAGGCGGCCTGGAAAAAAAACAGCCAATAATCAGAAAAGGTCTGGGAGATTTGGACATTCCTCCTAAGCCTAACCCTAAGCCTAACCCTAACCCGTCTCACCTTTCCTCCATCGCAAAGTCCCAAAGACTGCTTCTACGCAGACATTTCCTCTGACGGTCCACCTTTCGAAATATCCCCACTGTCACTGATCTGGCCCGTGACCCTGCCTGGCCCACAGCTCCAAAAGGGCAACATGACGACAGCCAATCAGAGGCCACGAGAAAATAAAAAGAAAGCGAGAGAGAGAGGGGAAAAACACGCTGCTGGCATCCCGCAGAGCATAGATCACTGTGATCCTTTCTGGAACAATAGTCTTTTCACAAAGCGGCCGGAGACTCGCTGAAACTGCTTTGCTCACGTGCCGCTGGCATTCTTTCGCCTTCCCTCTTCCGTCCCCACAGAGCAGTCGACATCCCCCCCGCCGCCCCGTCTCACGAGTCACCATAAGGATTGGACTGGGTTCCGTGCCAAAACGGGCGCCCGGAACCGAATCGGAGCTGCAGCGTTAACACCCGGTCCTGGAGTCAGAACTGAATGAACACACTGCACAGACTTAAACTGAATCGGACACGGTTCATTTGCGTAACTGAATTTGTCATCATTGTAGGCTGGACGTTATGGACGGCGTGGCGGTTCATTGAAACCGCATGACCTCATTGATACAAGTTGTCACGGTGTGGAGGGTCATGATGAATGAAGTGAATGATGTTCTGAACTAAAGTGGTGCTATTTTAATATAAACAGACCCTGTGACCTGCAATGGAACCGAGAAACTGTTCATGAGGGCAGAGGGTACCAAGTCGATTAAGGATATGGACTTTGGATGATGGTACTGACCAAGGGTGTAGGTTGGGTTTCAACAATAGTAGGGGCCAAATCAGCCACCTGTAAACATTCACAGTACTCTGACAGTACTGGTAGGGACATGGGCGTTCCACCCATACCCAAATCTACATCTTGATCAATTCAACCAACAGGAAACACATATGAAAAAGCCCGTCCAAGCAGCTATGACAAATCTCCTCCCCACCCTTGCCAAAAAATTGCATTAGCATGAACCTCAGAGTTCCCTTAAAAATCATTCTGGGAGCCCCTGTCACTGGTAATGTCACGTCCTGCCCACCACATCCACCCGGCCCTCCTGTCTCCTCCCTCACGTGGCTCTGATAGGCCATGCTCCCTTCACTGCGATTGGCCGTCGGCTCTCTCTGCTTCACTCCGATTGGCCGCTCTCTGCCTCACTCTGATGGGCCACACCTAACGCTTCTCGGCCCGCATTAGTTTATGTATTTCAGTACCTGTTTCTCTTGTCCTCACTAGTCCAGTAACTGACGTCATGCCATCTTGTTGCCTGTGCCCAGTTCCTCCTGTTTTGATCCCCCAAGAATCCCGTTTATTTCCAATCTCTATTCTCCAAGTTCAATAAAACTCTTTCTGTTTGTCCACCATGCCTGTCCCCTCAGTCCTTTATACTGGGGGAGATCATGACAGGTAATGTCATGAAATCACTAGGGAACATTTCCACCCAGATTGCCAGGATGACAGTCACCAGGCCAGCAACACAAACATTAAGCCCCAAATCAACAACCATCATTTTACAGGACATCCAAATGTTCATCCAAACAAAAAAAATTGTGCTATTTTTAAATCATCAAAACAAGTACATAAAAGTAGTTTGTTGGCAGAGTCGTGCACTCAAGCAGGTAAGCTCCATATGCTTCATTTACACGACAATTTACAAACACCAACCCTCCCCCCCACGATAAAATCTATTCTAATTGATTCAGATGAGGTGTGTATGTTTACACTGCTCCATGCTCCCATTGCTAACAATGAAGCTAGCAGTATGATCACATGATCACATGATCACATTCTAAGTAACTGAAGAAAAAATGCGAACCCTTACAAGTTTATGATGGACACACCAGGTTTTAAGCAGACAGTGATCCCAATGGCAGCATTAAGTCACAGTAAGGTCCTGTGAGGTTATGGGAGGACAAGCCTGCACCTCCTCTGGTATACTTCAGAAGTCTGGAGACTTGGTCCAGCTGGAGAACAGATGCCCCCTAGAAAAAAACACATTCCTACAGCCATTAAAGGCACTGTCGCACGCTTTTCTCGCTCTTAAACCAGCCAAAAGCCTCCTACAACCATCTTATGCACGTCTGTGACCATCTCAGTCATAAACCAAGGAGGATTCACAAGGCATCGGGACACTGGCCTGGAGGAACTACAGACATCTGACTTCAGAGAGCCTTTTTCATGGACTCAGAGGGGCGTTATAATATCGCAAAGCACAGGCAAATCTCTGTGCTGTTTTTAGCTCAGGGAAAAGTTATATAGGTCTGACAACACCATTTAGTGCTCCTAATGTAGAAATTGGAGGGCTTAAGTGTTTAATGGTCTGTCCTAATAACACCAATCACAGTAACAGCTATAATAAAATTATCAGATTAATAATTATAAAAAAAAAAGACTGAGACTGAACAAGGTCTGATTTCTTGTGGTCAGTAACAGAGAGTGGAGATGTAAGTTTGGCAATAAAATAATCCCATCAGTCAGTCTAATGTGCGTTGTAGTGATTTCAGGGCTGGCTGGCAGCCCCCCCACGAGTGACGATGGCAATAAGACCTCATTGTCAATGGAATCCAACCCCCCCCGGCACCGTGCCGGCTACCAGGAAACAGGCAGCCATGTTGACATAATCCCATTTTGCTGAGCTGGGGGTATGTGTGTGTGTGTGTGTGTGTGTGTGTGGGCTTTGGGTACAGCTTGCTATTGAAGTTGGAGTACAGGATGGAAACAACATCATGCTGAGGTAAGGACCGCGCACTGACACGGTGCGTTGCTGTACCCACCACACGACTATGATGCCCAGGGCAAAGTAATGCCAGGTTAAGCGCCGCATTCAAGGGCCCAACAAAGTAGAATCACTCCTGGCATTCACAGGATTCGAACCTTCCAATTGCCACCACAGTGCCCTAGCCTCGGAGTCACCATTCCACCCACTTTATATTACATTAGGTGGTGGGGGGGGGGGATCGGCAGGGGGGAGGGGTTATATCATGATCATGCACACGTGGAGGACTATGCAGGACTATTTTCTTAATAAAAGGTTGATGGCATCGTGCCTCGAGAACTGACCTCCCCAGCACTTGGGAGGGAATACCAGCACATTCATGCGTCGCCGGCCCTTGGAGGGGGGAGGTGGGCTTGCTGTGATTATACTGACCATCTCCCTCCTCTCACTGCCCTCTACCATTTGCCCTGGGAGTTAATTGCACGGAGAGGCAGTGAAGCTTGCTTGTGGGAGCCAAGTGTGGAGGGCGTCAGGGGCTCGAGGAGGCCGGCTAACAGAACCAGGGCCCCCCCACACCGGCCCGTGATGAAGCTCAGTGCGAATCAAGCGGAAGAACTCAAGTGAGATAACCTTTTTCCTTATTCATCATAAATATCACCCCAAACTTAGATAACCTTTACGTTTTACAATTAGACATCATCTCCACGATTACCTCACGGCGTCCTGCTTTTACCAGCATTCCCATTGTGAGCAAAGGCTAAATTTCAGATCTATAAATATTCAGCCACGTCTGACTTTGAATTGTCTTCACAAGACGAGGCACTTAGCTCCCACCCTCAATCAGGAGTTCACATCTTTCTCCTGTCCCCCCCCCCCCCCCCAAAACCCCCCACTCCCGCCCGCCCTTCACCTCGGTTATCTTGGCCCATCCAGCTTCCTCCCAGTCAGATGTAAGGCCCGAGGGCCAGCAGGAAACGGTCCTCCTCCGGCCGGCCATTGTCTAAGCTGCTCTCGGGAGTGCGACACGCACCGCGGCCTCGACTGGAGCTGTGTTCCGCTGTTCCGGGAACTCCAGCCGCGCCCACTCACACACTGCCAGCGTCGGTGACCCCCTGACCCCGCAATCGGCATCGCCCTTTCCCTAATCCGCACTCACATTTGATACAACTCACACCCTGAGTGAATAACAGCATCCACCGGGGCCGGCCCAACCCTTTGCGGGGCCCTAAGGAAAATTTGATTAACCTAGTTGTTATTTGTCATCTTCCTACCCATTCTGTCAGTCTGACCAGATGGGGGCCCCCCTGGTGGCCGCTGGGTCCTAAGCAGCCACTTAGTTTGTTTATACCTGTGAACCAACTATGGAACTTAGATCTGGATCCACCGATAGCAGTTTGCTTAGGGCCCAGTGGCCACCAGGGGGCTCCCCCAGCTGAACAGGCTGACAAAATGAGCAGGAAGATGACAAATGACAACTAGGTTAATCAAATTTTGCTTTGGGCCCCAAAAACGGTGGGGCCGGCCCTGGGTATACTGATCTAGCGCCTACAAATTGGGATGTCTTTTTTATATAGGGTTTGTCTTACTTTCTCTCAGTCTCCGGTGTGGACACCGCACTGCTGAATCCCAGCGCCTCCTGTGGTGAGGAGAGGTAAAGCAGTTAGGGCCTGGTGGGTGGGGGCATTCAGGAACCCCTCCCCCCAATAAAATCGGCACTCACCTGGGCATCCGACTGCAGCTGCTGAGACAGGACTGTGGTGCTGGGTCTCGCCTGCGGCGACAACAGAAAGGCCACGAGCAGGTCAGCGCACAGCTGGGAGCTCGCGTCAGCCTCTGAAGGCCGGGTGCCACTGGGAGACGCCCAGCACATCCCTAGGAAGCTCTTATGAGGTCATCGGTGACACCCGTGCCACCACGCTACCTCTGCCCTTGATGGCAGACATTAGCTCAACTAATTTCAACTATGTCTAAAGACGCCCAACCAAACCAGCATGCAGCATCTGCCACGTGAAAAGCAGCAGGCTGTTGGAACAGGAGGACAATGCGAGCAATACTCTGATTAGTATTTTTCTTCTTCTTGTTCTTCTACTGATTATCATTATTATTGTTGTTGTTGGTGTGGTTCTAAGCTCCAGCTGAAACTTGTGGCATGCTAGCTAGATTCCCTCCCCCGACCGTCAGCATCTGAGCACAATCTAGGTTCGATTTGAGACGACTGCGAACATCTGGAGAAGTTCTTCCTCCGCTTAAGTGCTCCTCACCGGAAGACACTAATATAGGGATACAGCCAACCTCACATAATTGTCTTTATTAACTTTCACAATGGTGGGAGAAGTATCTGTTGCAAAAGCTGGAATTAATTCTTTGTCTATTCTCATAGACGGGCATTGTTTCCCATACTTAGAATATTACTTCTGTGTAACATCCATAAATGAACTTTAATCCAAGAATTAAGAAAAAAAAAACTGAAGCATGTCTGGGGTTTTATACAACATAAAAAGGCAGAGTGAGACATTTCCCAACAGGCTATGCCTTCTGAAGCCAGACTGGGGAACTGGGACAAGGTCCGGAATTCCATCCAGACTCAGGGATCTTTGGTTCTGTCTGTCCGATCAGGGGCATCTAATCTATTGAAGACATGCAGTCAGGTCAGAGCAGCAACAGTTACACAGTTGTCAGGCAGGAACCCTCAGCCCCATTAAAATTGGTCGTAACGAGTAAATGCTTTGCGGAAACATTTTCCCAAGTGCCAAAGCAGGAAAAATATCATGTGTCATCGCATACAAATTTTTTTTCCAAAAAACTGCCCATAAACTTTCTACTAAATACCTCCCATCAGACATCCTGCGTTTGTCTTAGCAGTGTTTTAGTGGGAATTGTACTGAAGCAACGGGATCTTTACGGACGCAAAAAAATGCAAGAAACTAGACATGAAAATATGACATTTCAAAGAGCAGGTCAGGCCTAGCTGGGGAGTAACCTGGCACTGTTTTGACCTGCCTAATTAAGCCACTGCGACGTGTGGAGTTAGCAGGGTTCCGGAGATGTAAGGCACTGTGTGGTTAAGCATTGGAACGTGTGAATGTAAAAAAGGAAATATGTTTGTCTTGGTTTTGGTCTGTCCATCCATCCATACATATATACATACATACATTTATTGTATGCATCAAAATCCAGTTTTTGTATCACCTACATTGTCTTTTAACTCGTGCACTTCTAAGTTCTGCAGTAGGCATCCGACCCATTTGGGACAATAAAGTTTAGCTATTCATGTAATTGAAAATTCTTCAGCAGTTACGTTAAACTTACGTTAATTCATGGATACAAACAGATGGGAATAAAAAAAATCTGTAACTGTAACTTTCGTACTAAAATATGTTTCTGATGACTCCAAAGAGTGGCTTTTAGCATTCAGGGCTGCATCATTAGTACATTTAGCTGACATTTCACACCCAAGAGACAGAAAAACAGACACAGACAGCTACAGTGTCACTGAAACTAAGCGGATTCACATCATGCTTCATATTTGTCTCGACAGTCCAGGAAAAAAAGTCTTTTCACTGATAGATCAAATCTGCAAAATCCTTTTAAAACAAAGACTTCAAAGTGTCTCATATCAGAGGAAGTATGGGGGGGGGAGGGGGGACTCTAAGGATTTATTTTCAGTATCTACGACTTTGGCTCCTGAGCAAAATGGTGACATGCTACCCTCCAGGTCTTTCAGCAGTCACACGTAACACATTTTCCCTTGTTTCAAACATTTTCCGGTGTTTTTCTAAGAGCAAATTTAAACAGCGACCCTTCAGGGGCCCAGTAAGTGTAACAGGTATAGGTTATCGTTTGTGTATCTGCTGTGTAACACATATGTAACACAGTATTAGTAGTTTTAATTGTTTGTATTTAGGAAGTTGCTGTGTCATGCAGAGATTTAGGTTGAAGAGATAATCGATTAGCCTCAATACATTAGCCTTTGACTGGACTGCTGGACGCATTATATTTTATTACCTATTTAGTTTGGCCAGCGGTCAAACGTTATTTTTAGCTTTTTAAACAGTTTGTGTTTGGGAAATTGTAGTGACATTCAGAATTTTTGTTTCGTAGGGATTAAAGATGTTGACTTGTGTTCAGGCTGTTGTGGAAATACCTGTTGCCACTTTAGTATTTAAGCAAAATCAGTTAGGGTGGGTGGCGGGTGGATGATTAAGGCTTACATGCAGATGCAGATGATGTCAAAGCCGATCCGTGCCTCACTACTACGTAAAGATGAGGGGTTTCATACCGTTTCGAGCTCCTGGGACACGCTTCGCTTGCGCAGCTCCTCCATCCTCTCGCAGACGTCGCCGAAGCAGGTGTTGTAGTATTCAGAGTACTCCAGGGCCAGGTCATCAATGCTGCCCAGAGAACCGTCCTGCAGAAACAGGGCCACGGTTTGGGTCAGCCATCAACCCTATGCTCCTCAACTCAGGTCCGATCAACGCCAAACAAAGACATGAAAGCACAGACCTCCAAGAACATTTAAAGAAACATGAAGTGGATATCCTGGAATTTAATTACTTCATACCTAATTTTTTTTTCATATGTTTATATTTTTATATTTAATTACCCAAAGTGACTTATTTTTCCAATAAAAAAAAACAAAAAAAAAACAGCAGAATTACTATAAATCTTGACTTCTTGTAAAGCTCCACAGATTAGCATCAAAGAATTGCTTCTGCATAATATTGCTCTTGAGGTTGTATGTTTGCCCCATGCCAAGACTAATAAATCAAACGTTATCCAGAATTAGCATGGCGGTCAGAACTGTATGCCCAATTAGCAGATAAATATGGAAGGGTGAAGAATAGCTTTGTACACACGTAACGTCTAAACTCATCCCAAAAATAACTTCTACAGCTACTGGTCAACAAAGCCTGAGAGACTTCACAAGCGCAGTGTTTACTTCAAAAACTTTAAAAAAAAAAAAAAACACTCAAAAAAAAATGCCACAATAATGAGTAAAGCATGAATCCATTCTTTTATTTATAAACAAGCACAGATTAAACACAAATATGTCCTGTTTTCATTACGTTCATCCCAATCTTCTGTTCCAACTTAAAACTTTACTTTTCTGTGGAATGATCTA